GGGGGGGGGGGTGGCGTGTTTTATCAACACAAATTAACACACTGACACAGATAGTGATGTATGTAGCTGACATAATCAAAGGTGACTAGATCTCCTCTAATCACTTGTGACTGGATCCCAAGATGATTGCAATACCAGTTGTGAAGAGGGGCCCATGTTTTGCTCTTTCAGCGAGAGCTGGTGGTCGATGTTCGAGGTTTCACACCACTTGACACATATGCAAGTCTCAGCTCGATCCCCTTCCCCTCGCGCCTCCATTGGTAACGTTCAAAACCTCACAGATTGTAATAGCAAGGCTTTTGCTTTCTTCTCTCTATACTGTCATTGGTATATTCAGCTTCAGAAAAGCGTCTCGACCCACTTCAAATAGCTGTTGTGTTCAATTTCCACCTCTCCAAAACAAACCAGAGGCGGCTTTTCAAGCCATATGTCAGCAGTATGAGAGGACGGCTTTTATGTAGTGAAAGCAGTTTAATATTTTGATGATTGCAATACCAGTTGTGAAGAGAGGCCCATGTTTTGCTCTTTCAGCGAGAGCTGGTGGTCGATGTTCGAGGTTTCACACCACTTGACACATATGCAAGTCTCAGCTCGATCCCCTTCCCCTCGCGCCTCCATTGGTAACGTTCAAAACCTCACAGATTGTAATAGCAAGGCTTTTGCTTTCTTCTCTCTATACTGTCATTGGTATATTCAGCTTCAGAAAAGCGTCTCGACCCACTTCAAATAGCTGTTGTGTTCAATTTCCACCTCTCCAAAACAAACCAGAGGCGGCTTTTCAAGCCATATGTCAGCAGTATGAGAGGACGGCTTTTATGTAGTGAAAGCAGTTTAATATTTTGTGAAGGCTTACTGCTGCTGCAGACCAGCTGAATGACAGTCTGACAATACACTCCCATCCATTCTGCTTCTCAGATCAAGCACTCGCAGCAGCAACCCTGAGACACATTCACTCGCTCGCCCGCCCGCTCTCGGTGGGGTGAGAGGGCGACGTGGCCACCCTGACGTAGGGAGCGAGAACGAAAGCGCAAGACGGAGAAGGAGTGAGATGTAGAGGTAATGCAGAGGTTTTCGGTGACCTTGGCTACGGAGGATGAGAAGTGATGAGTGTGTTGATATTGCGTATTCCAGATCCATTACTCACAGAACCGCTGCTGCAGGAGGTTTATGCCTTTGTCTCTGCGCTGCACACACAAACACGAACGTTAAGGGTGCAGCGGGCATTGCCTTCCTTTGGCACCACACGTGCAGAGAGCCCGTTCTCTCCGGCTCGCCACATCTACGCCGGGTTTTCGCACCGTTTCTCCTCTCATCTTTATTCCTATTTAAGTCAAAGACAGAAATTCAATGCACAGGGCACGGCGTGGAGCTAAGCTTCACTGGTTTTCTCCATGCAGAAAATGAGATCTAATAATGATTTGCTCACCGTGGACGCTATCAGCACATAAAATCATCCAGGTTAATCAAATGGTTGTTGTGAAAGCCGTTTCTTTCTCTGCAGCGCTAACCCTTGCCGGCACAAGCTGAAAAGATCATTGATTTTTAATCTGCAATGAAAACCTCTTGTCACCCTTGGTTGTTTCTGAAATAATGCTGTTTTCAGTAGTTATACTTTTTCAGGCTCTTCTGGGATGGGCCTGTGGAAATTCTGACGAGCTTTTGGGACTGCGAGTCTAAATGTTATGAACTTTGCCTTTTGACCACGCTGCCAAACATCACATGAACGAAAGGAAACTCACTTTGTAATTTTGGTGACCTTAGACCTTGCAACCTACATACTGTGCATAATAACAAACAATCAAAAATAAATGCAAAGTACATGTAATGATATTTGACATGCCTCTGGCTTATATTGATTGCACAGTGCTTGAACGGAATTATTCTACCCCATCTTTCAAGGTTCTGTGATTCCCCTTAAATTCAAATACGTAATCTTTAAACTGCATTTAAAGAAACATTTTCAATATTTAAATAGCCAATTCCACCACAATGACAGGCTGTCATTAGCAGGACCTTGTGACGTCAATGCAACGGAAAGACAAGAAAACAAGTTTTGAATAAACCCTTGAATTAAGAGTTACCTGATAAATACGACTCAGCGAACAGAAAATTATTTACACTATGGAAGAAAACAACTTTAACTCAATCAAGGTTTGCATCAAAGCTGTAATGAGGACGAACTCAACAAACAACACAAGGACATCTTCTAATATGAATAATGGGGGCCAAAGAAAAAGCAAAGTGTTCTGACACTGGTTTTCTGGAGTGAGTTAAAAGAAAGAAGTGAAAGAAGAACGTGGAGAAGACGTGCTGGGTCTGGGCAGTGTTCGGCTAAGGCGAGATGATGAAGCATGCTGAGTGGGACAAATGAGACACGGAGAGAAAGGCACAAAGTCTTGAGGAGAGAAGTCTGTCGGGCGAGCGTCCTTCATTTCTAAAGTACTGTAGTAGACTGTTATCTGCTTAACAGCAGGGTTTTCTCTGAGAATGCAATGGATAAAAAATCTACAGTACAAAATTAGAAGAAACAGGCTACATGAAATATAATATAGGCTACTGTACGATCAAATGATTGTGGGACTTTGAAGCTTTTTTTCTTCTTTAAACTGTTTTTGTGGTGGCACTTTCCAACAATAACACCAGTGGCAGTATCTCTTTTACTTTTTTATGTTCTCAATGAGATCCTAAAGCAAAGCGCAAATGTGAGGGGGGATGGCGGTATGCAAATGAAAAGTCACGTGAGGTACAGCCTCTCTATGATTGGCCGATTACCCCATCAATACGATGATGCCCGACTATATTAAAAAACATCTAAAAATGAACCTACTGTAAATGGGTTAAACTGGTGAAAATGGACAACTCGACCACTCAAATCAACACTTTTAGCCATGTCCAAATCAAAATTATCTTAAAATGACAAAAAACACAGAATGAAATTACAGCTTGGTGCTTATGTCTAAAAAAAAAAAAAAAATCTACACAGATAATGTTTTACTGCATTATTGCAGTACTCACAATAGTACTTGACTATTAACTATTTTTACGTTAATTCAGAGGTGGAAAGTAACGAATTACTCACGTTAATGTAATTGAGTAGGTTTTTTTGTGTACTTCTACTTTTTAAAGTAATTTTTAAAATGTAAAAAAAATTTAATTTTACTTTTACTTAAGTATTTTTTGTTTGAAGTATTGTACTTCGCTACATTTTAAAACACATTAATTACTGAGTAAAAAAAAAATTGCTCACTGGAAACTACAGAAGTGCAGTAAATAATGGGCAGGAGAGCAAACTGGCACTAAAATCACAAGAAAGATGCAGGCGGAAAAGACAGGCGTTATGGTGCAGACCCAGTTGAAAACGAAACCCCATCGTATTCTGCTGAAGTTGAACTCGAAGGAAATGAAGTGAACCCCTGGCCATATTTATGCTCTATTATGCAGTGTAAGCTGTGTTTGCCTAGGGAGACCAAACTAGCAACTTATAAAATCTCGACATCAACCCTTCGCAAGCATGTATAGGTAAGGTAAATGCTTGCATCGTTGTATTGGTGGTTAAAATTAAGCTTTGACAGTTTAGCAAAAGGTTTTGCTAAACCTTTTCTATATGCTATATTATTGATATATATGCTATATCAATAATATTCATATTATATTTCATCATTTCAATGATCTCTACCTCTATCGTCCGTATCTATGTATAGATAGATAGATAGAGAATGCATAGTACAACAATAAGCCTTCCCAAAAGCCTTTAAAAACACTGTCATATAAAAATCACATTGAATATGGAATTTAAGAATGTACAAATTCCCCAAACCTACAAAGCAGAATTTGCTTGGTCATTTCCATCACACGGCTCTGCTGCTTACCATACAGGACACAACATGAAAGAAAAGTTAGGCAAAGTGTCACTTTGTTGCACTTTAGACGACATTGTTCAATTCTGTAGAACAGTCATGGATGCATGACCATGGCTCTCACGCTGAGGTTTCATAATGGACACACAAAAGAGGAAACCCTGTTGAGAAACGCCTATACCAGAACTCCACTCCCCCTCTTAGAGATAGAAGGAATGGGATGAGGAGAAAAAATGAGAGTGTTTATTCTCAGCGGTGCTTTGCTAATGAAAGAGCACATTCTTGTTTTCTTACTGTGTCATTGCGGAACTCAGGGGTTGTGGCGTTGTCACGCTCTCTCTTTTTCCACGTCTGTTAGACGACCCACTATGAAGCATCGCCCGACTTGGTGACAAGGACTGAAGATAAAGCCTCCATAAATGTTCAGTAAATCATCTCCTGACCTTTCCTGGCATCGCACACATCGACACCTGAAATGTTAAAGACAAAAGGAAGATTGAAACTTCCAGTGGCGTGATGAAGTACAGTCTCCGGCCTCCCTCCTCCTCCTCCTCTCTCGTAATCTCTCTTCCTCTCTGTCCAACTATGTCGTCTTTTCTTCCTGTCCCCGTACCTGCCTGGCTGTGTGAACGCGTAGGGTGGCGGACATTTTGCATATGCGATCCGTCATAGGGGCAGGATTAATGTTGTTTGCTGGCTCCCAAACACAGCTTGTGGTGCACTGTGGGCGACAGGAAACTTGGCCAAGTCTGGCTGCCGCACGGCTGGGTGGAAAATTAACCCTTGATGGCGGGAGGCTGGAGGCCGTAGCTCAGGTGTCCTTACATATGTTTGTGGTGTCAGGACAAGCCTGGCTCCGGGGCCCCCTGCAGGGAAAGAGCACTACCAGTGAGTCCAGTGTCAGAGGCCCGGAAGGGAGAGAAGGGGGAGAGGGATGCACCTTGGCACGGAGCACAGTAAATATGCTTCGCTTTTTCAAAAGGAAGATTGAAACTTCCAGTGGCGTGATGAAGTACAGTCTCCGGCCTCCCTCCTCCTCCTCCTCTCTCGTAATCTCTCTTCCTCTCTGTCCAACTATGTCGTCTTTTCTTCCTGTCCCCGTACCTGCCTGGCTGTGTGAACGCGTAGGGTGGCGGACATTTTGCATATGCGATCCGTCATAGGGGCAGGATTAATGTTGTTTGCTGGCTTCCAAACACAGCTTGTGGTGCACTGTGGGCGACAGGAAACTTGGCCAAGTCTGGCTGCCGCACGGCTGGGTGGAAAATTAACCCTTGATGGCGGGAGGCTGGAGGCCGTAGCTCAGGTGTCCTTACATATGTTTGTGGTGTCAGGACAAGCCCGGCTCTGGGGCCCCCTGCAGGGAAAGAGCACTACCAGCGAGCCCGGCATCAGAGGCCCGGAAGGGGGAGAAGGGGGAGAGGGATGCGCCTTGGCACGGAGCGCAGCCAATATGCTTCGCTTTTTAAGGCCTCTCTGGCTGCAGATAGTGGAGCCGCTGATAGTTAATCATTACATATATGTATAAAACAGATTTATCGGGATGTTTTCATGTCATTTCGGAAGAGAGGACATGAGAGAAGAGGAGGTCCAGTCCCTGCTGGGACACAGGTGTCTTCGTATCTCCTGCTATGCTCACTCAGAAGATCGCACAGTGGGACTATCACGCCGAATTGCTTATTCCATAATTACGGCCCAGCTTCTCGTAAGAACACACAGAATCAGAAACACCCTCATGCATAGCTTTCTCTGCAAATAACATATTACTCATCTGAGAAATTGCAAAGACCTGGTTAGGGTTTTGATGTGCTATGAAATTATTGTTCTTTGGCATAAATATACTTCCAGTTCGGATACGCCAGAAATTAGACAGAGAAGGAGGCGAGATAAAGATAGAATGTGTAACTCGAGGGGCCGAGTGAGCAATATCCAACAGCTGTCGTCATGGCATTGACCTTTACTTTGGCTCACTGTGACCCGTGCTTCTGCATTTAAACTTTTAAATTGTAAACCTGAACCTTGCCATTTCCGAGTCTCTGTGCAATGGTGTTATCTTCGGGAAGAGTGACAGTTCGCAAAACGTAACCAGAAGCGAGCTTCTGTCAGCCTTCTTCAACAAAGCTGGATAAGTGAGAAAGGACATCTATGACTGGATGTCGTTTAATAATCACAGTTTCCTAAAACTAGGCTCTGTCTTACACAGAAAAGCTGTGATGCTCTGTCAAAGCGGAGTTACTGTGGGTCAAGCATGTGGTGGATGAGAGAGGAGCTGAATGTTCTCTTGCTCGTGACTGCTTAGCTTGACTTGTTCCTGTGCTCTGATCCAAACTCCACCAATCAGTGAATCTGTGTCGCCCTGCTCCGGAGAACCGCGCAAAGGACAGAAATAAAGAAATAAGAGAGAATCACCCTGAGGCTACATCTAACACCTCCACCATTTTCCCCATCATTTCCAGTTGAAATTTGAAGTTGCTGCTACCTCAAATAGAAATACGCCTATGAAGGGAAACAGAAGAAACTGAGAGAGACAGAAAGATAGAGAAGTAATAAAAACAGGGTCGTTCTTTCCTACAGGTGCTATATATAGTACCATTCAAAATTATTGGGTCAGTAAGATTTTTCTTTTTATTGAAAGAAATTAAAACTTTTATTTAGCAAGGATGGATTCAATTGATCAAAAGTGACAGTAAAAGCATATATAACATTGCAAAACATCTCTATTACAACTAAATGCTGTTTATTTTAATTTCCTATTTATAAATGAATCCTGAAAAAAGTATCATGGTTTCCACAAAATAAGCACAACTGTTTACAATAATGATAAGAAATTTTTTTTTATAGAAACCGTTATTTTAAATTGTAATAATGTTTCACAATATCACTTATTTATTTTTCCAGTAACCTAAAAAAAATAAATATCTATCTATCTATCAGTCATTTTATATATATATATATATATATACATATATACAGTGGGTACGGAAAGTATTCAGACCCCCTTAAATTTTTCACTCTTTGTTATATTGCAGCCATTTGCCAGAGGGAAGAGGGGGTTTAGATGAGCAGTTGAGCGAAAGAGTGCGAATGAAGGAATGAGATGGATAATACAAGAAAAGGACTATGAGAAAGGCACAGCCTGGGAGAGGAAAAAAAGAATCAAATCGAATGAAGGGGAGCAGATGAGCATTTGCACAGCTTGCGTCTCTTCTCTGAGGTGATATCAAACACTGTTTAATGAAAGTTAAATAGTATCTGTGGAGTGCACAGGCTGGAACAGATGAGATCAGGGTGCGGAAGCTGTCAGTGCCATTGTTGCGGGTGCACACCGTCACCCTGCCTGAAAAAAAGAAGTGCATGCAGATACAAACCACCCACCGTATGCACCATGTTGACTCATAAAAAAGACGGGGAGTTTTTTTCTTTTCTTTCTCCTGCCTTTTTTCTGCACTTGGCATGGTCGTTTTGCAAATACATCTTTGTAATTTGAAACTGGCAAGAGGAGATTTATGACAGAATAAGTGGCTTTTTCTGCTGGAATTTATAACGTTGTGGAAGAAGAGCATATACGGTTAGGAAGAAGGAGCCAGGAGGATGCTGCTATGGGTGTTTGAATATGTGGGGGTTAAAAAAAATCACTAAATAAAATCACTGAATTGTCTCTGCACCTCTTTGACATGAGAGGATTCTGTTCCCTTCCATCACTTCCTTTGCAGACAGACACACAGAGATCGCTAAAATCTTCCCTCCCACTTTCCGTTCCTTACTGCTCTCTCTTTTACCCTCTAGATGCTTTAAAGAAACATAATTTGCTTTCTGTTCATTACCTCTGCCTGTTCCAACATATTTTCCTAACAGACCTGACATGATAAAGCATAAGCGAAAAGCGTAAACTCCAAATTAAAGTTTTGTAATCAGTCATGACCGTGACAAATGGCAGGATATTTTAGATGCTCGTAACGGCTGTAACTACACTATATAGTTCTAAATAGCATATTTATCCATTAAGAGATTGTTAGAGTTGCTGTGTATTATAACAAAATACATTTCATCATGCATACTGTATATACACTACCGTTCAGAAGTTTGGAGTAGGTAAGATTTTTTAAAGTTTTTAAAAGAATATTATGTTCACTAAGGCTGCATTTATTTCATCAAAACTACAGTAAATACTGACATATTATAAAACATTATTATAATAACTTTTATATGTTAATATATTTCAAATGTAAATTATTTCTGTGATGGCAAAGTTGAATTTTTAATATGCTGATTTGCTGCTCAAGAAACACATTTTTTGTTAATTTTGTGGAAACAAGAACAAAAGAACAGCATTTACACTTTCAAAATAACAGCATTTATTTGAAAACTAAATTTTGTAATTTTGTTTGTAACAATTAATGTCTTTAATCATTTTTGATCAATTGAACAACAACAGAAAAAATAACAACAACAAAAACAAATAACAAATAAACAAACTTACTGACCACAAATTTTTGAACGGTAGTGAATTGCTAGTATCTCATTAATTTATAACAAATGTTTTTAACAAGAATGTCCTAACCAGCCATGTCACATTTTGTTGGTCATTCGCTTTCGGTGATATCAGCCTGGGTAGCACTGGCCTCTACGAAATCTCATTGGTCCAAATCCTTGTTCCATATAACTGTGAATTACACATTAAAACATTCAATGTTAGCTGTATATTCTGATTACATCAACATAACCAAAAGCAACCAACACATACAGTGGGTACGGAAAGTATTCAGACCCCCTTAAATTTTTCACTCTTTGTTATATTGCAGCCATTTGCTAAAATCATTTAAGTTAATTTTTTTTCCTCATTAATGTACACACAGCACCCCATATTGACAGAAAAACACAGAATTGTTGACATTTTTGCATAAACACATTTTTTAAAGTTACCCTAAAAATACTTACCTTCATGTCAAGACGGCAGATTTTCAAATCAGAACATTCATTGATAACGGTTGGCTTTTTCAGGTATTATAAACCTCATTGGTTTGGACAGACAGAACGCCTGGTGGAAGAGAACGGTAAACAGCCTTTAGACATTAATTAGATAAATGACAAAACATAAAACAAAAGGGAACTGCTGGGTAAAAGTACAGTGAACTTTGGCGAATAAGAGGAGGATAGAGAAGACAAGATGAGAGGCAGTAAGGTGAGTTGAAACAGTCTCTGGTCAGTCACGTGTTGGTGCGGGACAGGAAGAGTGAGTCACAGTGCAATGTGGCACCTGGGTGCACTAATTAATGCACAGTTCCAGTGGCTGAACATTTAACCTCCTCTTGCATGTATCACCCAGTGGCTCCTCTCACTTCCACAACAATAAACACAAACAAACCATTAGAGACGGTCAGTGGTTCAGGCAGTCACCATACACAGTTTCTTTAGAACAAGAGACCTCAGAATGAAATGATCACAACACACATACCATGACTCCAGCAGGAATTTATCACGGGTGGGTCGCAGATG